CTTGACCAGAAAATAAAATTTTGATTAACACAAACATTTTTTAAGCAGTTTAAAAAACAAATGAGGAGATTCCGAAGGTGGGAAGAGCGTCATAACTCACAAAAAATTCTAAAGAATTTTTCTTACTTGAGTTAATAATATATAAAGAGATTTGCGAAATATTCTAAAAAGGAAAACATAAAACACTGAAGAGACATAACGATTTGTAAAAGTCGAAAGTATTATATAGAGCATTGTAGAGTATAATTTAGATTTTCTTGTAAGAATCACCTAATGGATATTCTATATAGCGACCCCGGTCTTCTCCCATTTGATTATTGTATCCGGACTTAGGTTCCGTAGATTCTGTCATTGTATAACGGTTGTTGTTGTCCCTTATTTCTCATTTGGAATTATAGGATGTGTTGGGCAGGTTTGTTTCAGGTTGGTTGGGTTTAGAAATCAAGTGTTGCTGTCCAGTATTTTGGATTTTCGCTCGAGCGAGTAGTTTTTCGCTCGAGCGAGCTGTTGTTTTTGGTTCTTCGCTCGAGCCGGGGTTTGGAAAAATATCTCCCTTCATTGCTTTCAATTCAATATAATATCATTCAATTATATATGGACAATAATAATCTCATAATTACAATTAACATTCCCAAATATTTAAAATGTATCACTCTTAAACTGAATATATAGAAAACATTTTCACAACTCCAACTTTCAATTATACATAGGCAATTAGTATAATCTCACAAAAATATGTTGCGAATAAACTTTAGCAATATTCTCAGATGTGCCAGAATGTATCACTATATAAACACATTTGGGTTGAATATATAGAATACAATCAACATCTTTAAACTTCAATATAATCTTAATTAATTATACATGGGCAATAATTATAATCTCACAACAATGGGCTGCAAATAAACTTTAACAATATTGTCAGATGTTTCAGAATGTATCATTATATAAATACATTTGGGCTAAATATATAAGACACATTCTAACACCTATAAACAAGTCAACTAGCAAGAATGATTTATCAAGAAATTATCTCCTTTGGGTAGATAAATTCTTTCAAAATCAATAAAATTTCCCTTACTAGTGGCTCACACTACCTCTAAAATTAATACACTCAATTAACCCCCTTTGGTTAGGTAATTGAGTGATATAATATTAGAAGAGCTTCCCAGAATCCTTATTGGTAAATCATTTTAAATCTTAATAGGTTAACCAATTCGGCAGTATCACCCATATTGATTCAAAATCTTCCAACTGGGACAAAAATAAATATTTGTCCACCTTTAAAACTTTATTTATTTATTAGGTCATATGACTTTTATTAAATTTTCAGCATATCCAAGTGCCCATCAAAGCATATATAATATCATATTACGAATCACTACTAAACAGTTACTCAAAAAATAATATCTCTCGGCGAACCAAAATTCGCATATGAATGTACAAAAAATACACCAAAGTGATATACATGATATAGAACTCTTAAACAATCTTAATATTTACGTAAAAGTCATAAAAACAAATATGTTTCATATCTTTTGCAAATATTTGATTAGGTGAGATTTGAAATATATATATATATATATATCAATATAGATTCAATATACACATATCCATATTTTACAATTGTCACAAAACTACCAAATCCAAATTACTATTTTTTATTTTATAAAACATAATTGGAACCAAACCATCAATACTCAAACAGTATGTATTTATTACATTGAAAAAGTTTTCTTGAAATTACTAAAGCGCGATTTTGAGATGCAAAAGCATCATTCAGTAAAAAGAAATATTAATTTATTCCTTATCATTATATAAAATAATTTTACTGAAATAATCTGCCATAATTTTGATTCTAGTATAAACTTGCTCTGATACCACATGTAAGAATATAGGATCTATATACTAGAAATCAAAACACTATGAATATAATTAACTACTAAAACATAAACTTAGATACATACCGTTTGATTCCGTCTTGAGTTTTGCTTCTTTGAAAGATGATGGTATTCACAATCGGAAAACCTTAGCACCAGCTCTTCCCTTCCTTCTCCTAATCTTTATGTTGTCTTTCAATGGGGTTGACAACCCTTTGATCTACATATATATAGATATATGTAAACCCTAATAAGGATAGGAGAGGGGACTGGGCCAAAATAAAACAATTACTGGGCCCTCTCATTAAGGAACCCAAATAACTTAAAACAGGCCTTACACCTCCATATCACATATCTATATATAAAATAATATATACACTAAGATGACCATGGCCCAAACTTTATGGATCACAATAATAATTTTGGACGCATACCAGTCAATCTATCTAAATCACGTTCAACCCGTTTTTCACAAACCAAACAAAATATAGTCAATGACAGCCTAATTAAGAATAAATTCTTACACCCAATCCATCGGCCTGCTTAAGAACCAACCCGACCTGACTGAGGCCCAACATCATTTTTGATGAAAAAAATAAAATTTTGGTAAAATAAATAAATAAATGGTCAAACCCGATCCAAGCCTGCCCCAAGCCCAAGCCAAGGTTTGCTGGCTCGACCTGGCTCGCCGACCAGCTCGAGGCCCGAGAACCCCCCGGGCTTGGGCCTAGCCTAAGACCCAAATTTTGATAGGAGCCTGTGGCTCAATAGTGGACCAGCCTAACCCCAAACCCAAATGGACTGGATCAGGTCGGACCAATTTATACCCCTACCTATAAGTCAAGTTTGTTATCAACAAAGGCCTGATTCATATTTTATACACAAAGGTATAGACTCTGTTTGGTTCCATTCTAGAATCATGATTCACCCTCATATTTCAACATTCTGGGTTGGTTTGGCAAGGGCTCATTAGACTTTTTTGGCTCAATGAGCCATAAAAGACAGAATAGGCTCATAAGCTACAACAGACAAAACATCCCATCCAACCCCATAATCATTACACTCTTCTCTCACAAAAAAAATCAAAAAAGCCAAAAGCCCTTCCCAAACTAAGCTTTTGAGCTCATATAGTCAAAAAAGCCAAAAAGCCAAAAAGGCAACCCACTTCCCAAACGGAGGTATTTGATTATAGTTTTCAAAATATGATTCTAAATAATATTTCAAAATACATTTGAAAACATGTTTGATAACTAGAGAGTTTTTGAATTTTATTCTACCCGATCGTTCTTCCGGACATCTGCCCAGACAGTTTTTAAATTTTTAGATCTACTCGGACATCTGATATAGAGCTCCCACATGCAGGTATTTCTCAGCGATCGCACGGTTCATTAGCTAGTATGCAATTGTTAAATAATTAGGGAGATTGATATGGAAAAAGGGGGTTTTTTTTTTTTTTTTTACAATTAGCACTTGTTATTTGAAAGGAAAAAAAATTATATTTGTTTTTTTATATTTTTTAAATATATAAATTATTTTTTTGACCAAAATGGCAAATTATTTGGCCATTTATTTAAAATTAAAAAAAATTAATTTGTCAAATTAATTTTTAAAAAATAATAAAGTATTTTTAAACAAAACAATTAAAAAAATATACAATCAAAAGTAATTTTGAAGCACTATCTGAATATTTTTTTAACAAAAAATAATATATTTTTTAGTATTTCAAATACAATTCTAAATAAAAAAATTATTTTTTTAATAATTATTTTTTTGAATTGAATTTTAAAAAGGGTTTAGTTATGTTTTGAATAGAATTTTTAATAAAATTTTGAGTTATGTGTTTGGTTATGAGTTATAAGTTTTTAAATAAAATTTTAAAATTTTTTTTCAAAACTCATAACCAAACAACTTTTCTTATTTCAAAATTCATTTAAAAAATTCAAAAAAAAATTCAAAATTTATGACTAAACAAATTTTTTCTTTTTAAATCATGATTTAATAACCCACAAACTCAAAATATAATTCTATTATCAAATCATGATTTTAAAACTAAACCAAACGCTACCATCATTTCTCCATAATTACAAGGAATTGCTGAATTTGTAGATAATTCTTTTTTCTTTTTTTTTCCGTAGAAAATTCTATGTTTAATAGAGGAAAATAAATTTTTTTTTAAAAAAAAGAAATCACGTACCACGTGAGACGCGCCTGGACGGAACGCGTAGCAGTGAGCATCAACGAAACACGAATCTCGTATTCAACGATCTTGCCACGTGGCGATTATCCTTTGCAACAGATCGTGAAACGCATAAAAAATAAATTGGGAGAGAGTGGAAAAGGTAAGAATAACAGGCAAGGTCATCCCGAGAAATTATTAAATATTTTTGCATTATCACACGTATACCCTTTAACTAATTATCATTTAATATATTTATTATATTTTTAATAATTTAATATAATATTTTATTTATTTATTTTTTCTATCAATCATAATATTATAAATATATTTGGTTTAGTTTTGAAAAAGTAATTTTTAAAAATTATTTTAGGGAGAGTTTAGAAATTTTTTTAATTTATTTAATTGTGTATTTTAAAAATAATTTTAAAATTTGAGAGTTTGAAATGATTTGATATTTTGGTATAATTGAATAGATACATATAAAAAAAGTGATTAAAAATAATAATAATAATAATTAATTGATGTGTAAGAAAAAAATAATAATTTTAAAAATAATTTTAGAAAAATTTCAAACCAAACAAGGTTTTTGGAAAATTTTCACCAAACATACCCTACATTTGTATGAGGTCACTGAATAATTTTCAATCTTCCCAAGGACCACATGCGTGTCAGTAAAGGAAAGGCGGTTTGGCCCGTCCGTGTTGAAATCCCATTGGTCCACGTACCCACGTTCCCAAAAAGATCTTCCACGTGGTACCCTAACAAGAGGAGAGAGAATATCGATGATACGATGGACGGTGAGGATCGCTCATATTGTATTCAGAGTTTCTACGTCACACCAACTGGACATGTCGGATACTGCCCGGGACGGTGACGGGCTGCCCCAAAATACCCTCCCAGTGGCCCACTCTAAAGCTTCATTTTAATGGGTGCTCGAGAGCTTGCTTCGAAATCTCTCTTGTAGTTCTTGTTTCGTGTTTACACAACTTTTCGTTATTCTCTCTCACCGTTCGAATTCAGGATTGGATCGGAATTCGAAGAAGCAATTCGGTTTTTGTATAGTTCGGTAATGGCTGGGATGTGTTGCAGAGTTGTTGGCGAGACCGAGACGACGACGAAGGCAGCGGAGCCGAGCTTGAGGGTGGCGAAGCGGCGGAGGATGGAAATTCACCAGCTGAAGATTCTTGCAGCAGATATGGCTGTGCCGTTGCCGGAGAACGGTAGAAAACGTCGGAAATTGGATGTTTTTGTGGCAGATTCGAAGCTGTCTGAGTGCGGAAAAGCAGTTGAGAATTGCGTGATTAGTGAAGGTTGTTTGGTGGAGAACGGTGAATCAGAGACGACGTCTGCGAAACAGTGTGCATCTTCGACTTCAAATGTGACAAACGAGCCTGAGGTGGTTCAGAAATGCCCTAAGTTAGGCATGACTTCTGTGTGTGGAAGGAGGAGAGATATGGAAGACGCTGTGGCCATTCACCCCTTGTTTTGCCGCCGGAGTAGTCAGAATCCGGCGGATTTGCACTTTTTCGGCGTTTACGACGGCCACGGTTGCTCACATGTAAATTTCTCGATCAAATATCAAATCTTCTTACGATCTACCTTCTTTTTTTTTCTCTTTTTTTAAGAACGTTTTGTTGATCTCCTTGTGATTTGATTCTTGTAGGTGGCGATGAAGTGCAAAGATCGATTGCACGAGATAGTGAGAGACGAGTTCGAAAGCCACGAAGAAGATTCGTGGAAGGAAATGATGGAGCGAAGCTTCTCTCGTATGGACAAGGAGGTAACCGATTGGTCCAGCGGCGTTGGAGTCGGAAGCTCTATCTCCAACTGCAGGTGCGAGCTCCAAACACCGCAGTGCGACGCCGTTGGATCCACGGCCGTCGTCGCGGTCGTGACGCCGGAGAAGATCATCGTCTCCAACTGCGGTGACTCCCGAGCCGTACTTTGCCGTAACGGCGTCGCAATTCCTCTCTCCTCCGATCACAAGGTGAGGTCTCAATTCAAATTCCTATCTCTTCAAACTTGGATTGAACATCGAGATCTGGATTTCTCATATATTTTATGTGTTTTTTGTATCAATCACAGCCTGATCGACCGGACGAACTCGATCGAATTCAAAACGCCGGTGGAAGAGTCATATACTGGGACGGTGCGAGAGTACTCGGAGTCTTAGCCATGTCTAGGGCAATAGGTATATGCTCCGAACTCAGAATTCATCAAATTTGCAATACAAAATCGTTATTCTTTTTACATGTTCTGATCTGTATTTGGTATATGTATATTTTCAGGTGATAATTATCTGAAACCGTTCGTTATACCGGAACCGGAGGTAACCGTAACGGATCGGACGGCGGAGGACGAGTGTTTGATATTGGCGAGCGATGGACTTTGGGACGTGGTGTCGAACGAAACCGCGTGCGGCGTCGCGAGAATGTGCTTGAGGTCGATGAAGCCGCCGTCGCCGCCACAGTCGCCGGGGAGCGAAGTCAACATTGCAGCCGCCGGCGAGAGCTCCGACAAGGCTTGCTCCGACGCCTCGATTCTGCTGACGAAGCTGGCCTTGGCCAGGCACAGTACGGACAACGTCAGCGTCGTCGTCGTCGATTTGAGGAGAGATCTATAGCCCCCATCGACTTTTTATTATTATTATTATTATTATTTAGCTTTTAATTAATTGTTACTTTTGGTGATGATGTCTTGAGATGGAGGAGTGTCGTAGGGCATATATCCTTCAAAGTATTAAAAAGAAATATATATATATTTATATATATATATATATATAATATATATATAGAAATTTAAGTCTTCAAATATCATTTTAATGGTAAAATGATATTTTTATTTGAAGGCTATATGGAAGGGTTAGAAAAATGTATATATACTTGTTTTAATTTCAAATGGCTACTAATGTTTTTATGGTTTATAAACAAATTTTTTTTTTTTTTTTTGAGTCTGTTTCTCTCCAATATTATGGTTATATTTGGTGTAGTTTATGACAAGTATCTGATATTATTTTTTCAATTGTCATAATGTTTGATGTGATTTTTATTTTAATTTATAAGATAAAAATAGTATAATTTAAATTAAAAAAATCATTTTTATTTATTTTTTTGAGGAATAATAAAAAAAAATTGTTTAGAAGAAGATTAATGTTTTCTTTTTTCAATTTGTATAAAATAGCATCAAATAATATCAAATAATAAAGGATTTTATTAATTACAGCTTTAAGGTTGGGTTTTTTTTTTAGAGTCCCTGGTATTAAGACTTTATATTATAAAGGACAGGTAATATTTTCATAATATCTAAGGTTCCTCAATTTGATCCAGAGAAATTCTGATCTAGAGAAATTCTCTCAAACCCAGAGAAATTCTCTGTTTCTCTCCAGAGAAATTTCGTGACCGAGTATTTGAATCTTTCTCCTCTGCCACTCCTCCCCTAAACATCCTCCAACCATCACCACTAACCAACCCAACTAACCCACTCCCTCAAAATAATAATTTAAATATGATCAACAACGAATTGAGGGAACCAATCACATATAATAAAATAAAATTAAGAAACATCACCTTGATAATACCCAATAACATGTCCAATAATCACTTTTTTACTACTTAAAATAAGAAGAAGAAGAAGAAGAAGAAGAAGAAGAAGAAAGAAAGAAAGAAATGCATTGTGGTAAGGGAACCACATTTTTATGTTTCACAAGCAGTTTCATTCAAGCTTGGACTACTACTACTACTTCTTTAGATTCTCTCTTCACCATTGCACCATTACTCTCATGAGCAACCTCATGACATTTGGGTTCTTCTTCTACCTTTGCACTGCTGTCGCCATTCTCGCTTGAAGTATCATATTTGTCGTTGTCACCATCATCATTTGAAGCTGCATTTATACTTGTTTGGTGGTGGATGAGGATTTCCTTGGTCCAACTGCGCAACTTCTCTGTAGTATCCTTATCTGCTTCAGAGAAAATTGGGTTGGTCCAGAGAAATTCTCTGAGTTGAACTAGTGCTCTGCTTCAGAGAAAATTGAGTTGGTCTAGAGAAATTCTCTAGTTTGGTCCAAAGAAATTCTCTGATTTCCAAAGCTTCCACATATTATTATTAAAAACAGCTGCTAATACAATTCACATTCAGAGAGTGGATGAACAAGTGAACAAGGTGGTGATGGCTGCAAACAAAAGGGCAAAGCTTGCGATTCAACATCAGGGGGTGGTTTGGAGATGCAACATGACATAGAGGTTGACGATGGAAATAAGATAAATGACAAACTCTATGCTGAAAAATCTTAATATCAGGGACTAATCCAGAGAAAATTTCAATCCAAATCGGAGAATTTCTCTAGACCAACCTAGAGAAATTTCAGTTCAAACCAGAGAATTTTTCTGGACCAACCCAGAGAAATTTCAGTTCAAAGCAGAGGCCTGACCAGTTCCTGCAGATGAAATTTAATCTCCTTTGCGCAAAGTACCGTATGTGTCTTTACATTCTAGTAGAATTATTAGAATTCCTGCATTAGGTGCCAACGGAGAAAACTCTTGCATGTCTGCATATTCTGCTTGCAATGCCATATTTAACAAGATCATGTCCATCGTTGGCGATGCTAATGTAAGTTATATATCACACTCTTAACAGTTTTATCCTACATTTTTTTCCCCCACAACAATGAGAATTCGTTACATTTATGATTTGCGGTACTACGATATCAGAAAGAAATGCGAGGGTGACCTATGCTATGACTTCGCAAACATGGAGAATTTTCTGAACTAGAAGTCTGTCAGAGAAGCTCTTGGGATTGGCGACATCGAGTTCGTTTCGTGTTCTTCGACAGTGTACCAGGCCATGATCCTGGACTGGATAAGGAATCTCGAAGTTGGCATTCCTTCGTTTCGATCTATTCTTGCCATTGTTTTCAGCCAAGGCACGTCGAGTTCCAGCGACGCGCTGAAGAAGGCCGGGAAGGTTCTCGAAGATCGCCGGGAGAGAAATCCAGTCGCAAGCATCATGCTCTTATCGGACGACTGGAGACTTTGCAGCAGAGAAATCGCCGTTGGATACCAACCCAGCTACCATTGATGTAGGAGGGCACTGTTTCAGAGAAAGATAGATATATATAGTTTTAGAGAGAGAAAGTAGAGAGAGTGTGCGTTTGTGTGAGAAGACGACTTCATGCAGTGTCGATTTTTCAGGTTAGAATAGAATTGGATATCAAATTTCTCTATAGGGACCTTAGACATTAAAAAATAATTTTGTGGATCTCTTCTATTACAAAAAGTGAGAAAGGGACCTTAGACTAATTTTCGTTTAAGGTTGTCGATACATGCCATAAAATATTAAAAAAATTAACATTTTAATATAATTTTTACATATTTCAAGATAATTTTACACATTTTAATTCACTACAATGCACTTTTTATAAAAATAAATAAATAAATAAAATAAAAATATTAACACTAGTAAAAATCCCTAGAACTATTTTTAGCATTTTTTAAAAAATAAAATAAAATATTGTAAAAATTTATAGGGCAAATTATATTAAATTCTGTCAAATTATCGATCATATTTACACTTTATTCCTCTAATTTTTTTAACTCAACAATTACCCCTCAAACTATTTGAATTTGAATATTAAGTTTTTCTGTTAGTCATTTGTTAAATATTTAGATAGAAAAATTTAAGTGCTATGCAAATAATGATTATATTAAATTTTTACAAAAGATAAAATAGGATAATTTAATCATAAATTTTAATATAATCATCATTTGTACATCACTTGATAATTTTTCATTCAAATATCTAATAGATGACTAACATAATGAATTAATGTTCAAATTCAGATAGTTTGAAGAAGTAATTGTTGAGTTTAAAATATTAAAAAATAAAATATAAATGATCGATAGTTGAAAGGGGTTTAATATACTTTGCGCATTTTATAATAAATTTAAAAATTTTATTTGTCACTATAAGAATGTCACTACTTTTTTCTTCGAGAATTTACAAGATGAGTTTTTTTTTTTTTTTTTTTGAGATAACGTTAATATGTTAGTATAGTTAGATTACAACTGAATGGTCGCCGTTGTTCCATCAATTCGAACCATTAACCCCTCACTCACTACACCCTACGATGTAGCTACTAGATCATTAAGTCACACCCCAATTTCATGGCTGCCTAGGCCGCGGGCATGCCACGCTACCTAGGCCGCTCGCAAGCCAAGCTGCCATGCTACCAAGGCTGTAGGCTTGACATGCTGCGAAGGCCGCGCGCAGGCCAAGCAACCAAGCTGCCAAGGACGCGCGCAAGTGTACATGTTGGGGTTGTAGGTGAATGGTAGTGTATGGATTAGGTTGAGGTGTGAAGGCAATGGGTTAGTGGTAGCCTGAGATCTTTTTGCTGGAGCTATGATCTCTTTGTCAATAAGATCTTGAATCTTATGACGGAGAGAGAATTGCCTATATGTAGGCCTTGATAGATCTGATCGAATGGTCATGTCCCTTGATCACATCCGATCAGATCTGACTGTGGCCTGTGCTGCAACATGCTGGTCAAGGCTGTGGCATGGCATGCTAGCCGAGGCAGTGGCATGACATGCGAAAATTTTAATTAAAAATGTTAGATATTGCAAAAGTTCTATTAAAAATTCAAATTTTTACTAAATTTATCACATAGATGTAGAACTGACATGTATACGTCCTACACTCATGTAAGACATTTAATAAAAAAATTTAATAAACCTTTTGATGCCTCTAATATTATTCAATTTTAATATATTCAAAAAATAATTAAATATATTTATCTAAATAAGATATTTATTACGTGAGTATCTAAATAAGATATTTATACCGTGAGTATACGCGTGGCAGATGTTGTGTGGATTCACATTAAAAGTTAAAAAATGATAACAGCATAGCAACCCTTCAAAATGGAGGATCATTTTTCTTATTCGGAAGCACGACACTACCTAATGACTTGCGTTAAGTATAATGGTCAACTGTATAAAAGGGTTTCTTCCTTTATGAGACCGTTAGTAGTTCAAATTTTCATAGGTTGAATGGTTTGAATATTTCAAGTAACGTCATTTTTTAGATATAATAATATCGTTTTGATATATTTGAGTTTTTTGGATCACACAAATTAAAGCTATCAAGTATTTTTCTTATGAATAATACTATATGTATTAATTTGTATAATTTGTATAATGAGTGGAGTTAATAATAATGTCATAACTAATATTAATACACTAGTTAATACATTAATTGGTACATACACTAAATAACAAATTTAACAAAAGCATATGACAAAAAGTATTAACACAATAATTAATATAACAAGAAAGATATCTTCAACTTCAATACGTTCTCATGAGATTGGGTTGTTTGGAATATTCTAAATAAATATACTTTTTGACTTTTTATAAAAATTTATAAAAAGATGTATAGAAAAATAGAGAGAATATGTTGATTAATGTGACCTAAAAAAGATAAAAGGATGAAATAAATTAATGTATGCCAGATATGTATAAAAGGGTTCAAAAACAAATTAACAAAAGCATATAATAATGCATAATCTCAACAGTCAAATAACAAGAAAGATTTCAAATAATTATAATAGAGAAAAATTTAGGGAAAGTTGCCAAACAGTGGAAGTATTAGAAAATTATTATTGATTCATGAAAAGGGTTATGAATTTAATTATTAAAGTGTATAAAATTTATCACTTATCTATAATTTATTTAAAAATCTACACTTAATTGAAATTTTTTTTAAAATTTACAAGTGAAAATAATCGTATTTTGAAATCGACTCATTAAGTAAACAAGTCAAACTTAAATATATATTTTGGACTTATTAAGTTTTTCAGCAAAATTTGCGTAACTTACTACTTGGCTATGTACACTATAA